AATGCCAGAAACATACATTGGAGAAAATGACAGGATCTTTAATAAATGGTGCTGAGAAAACGGGTTATCTCTTTGCAGAATGAAACTTGATCCTTCCCTCTCATCCTTTACGTAAACCAAATCAAATGGATCAAAGATCTCAATGTTAGATCTGAAACTTCTAGAAAAAAGAGTATGGATTACACTTTAGGATATAAACTCATATTAGGACTTTCTGAATAGGACCCTAGGTGTCCAGGAAATAAGACCAGCAATCAACAAGTGGGGCTTACTGAAATTAAAAAGCCACTATGGAAATCAGTGTAGAGGTTCCTCAAAAAGCTAGAAATGATCTATCATATAATCCAACAACCCCAATCCTAGGCATATGCCCAAGAACTCTTCTTTCCTATTGCAGAGACTTGTGTTCACCTCACAATAGCTAGATCTTCTTAATAGCTCTCAACAGTATTACAGGCTTCAGTGTATAGATCTTACAGATCCTTTCTTAAATGTCATCTGCAATATTTTATTGTTTGGGATGGTAAATTATTTTCTGTTTTTTCATAATGCAGTTGATTTTTATGTGCTAATTTTGTGTTTTTGCATCTTCTGAATGTCTTCTAATAGTTCCTTAATTTTATCCCTTAGGATTTTCTATGTATAAGATGTTAGCATGTGCAGATAGAGATCATTTTACTTTTTTATTTCTACCTGTATGTATTTTATTTGTTTTTCTTAACTGTTCTAAACAGAATTTCCAATACAGTGTTAAATAGAAAAGGCAAGCAAGCTATGTTTTTTTTTTAATTCTTGATCTTAAGGGAAAAATCATTCAACATTTCATAAGCAGTTATGTTGTTAGCTGAATGTTTTCCATATATACCCCTTTATCACCCCAAGGATTCTCTCCTTCTGTTCCTAATTGAATTTTTCAAATGTTTTCTCTGTGTTTATTGAGGGAATCATGTAGTTTGGGTCTCTTACTAATAGGGCTGACTATCTTGCATTCTTGGGATCATATTAGAACATAGCATATGATATTCTTTGCCTGCTGCTCAATTAAGTTTGTAGATACTTTATTGAGAGATTTTATTCATAATCATGATGTAACATTGTTCCTAACAGTAAATATTTTATAGTAATATAAATGTCTATCAACAAGGCAATAGTTTAAACTACTTAGCAATTTAAGAAAAACATGAAGTAGTACTATATGTAATAATTCACATGATCTGCAAAGACATCATATTTTAAAACAACAAATGTAATATAATACAATGTTAAGCTATAGTGCTATTGACAACTTTTATATAAAATATGGACAAATGCGAGATCGAGACCAGCCTGGCCTACATAGCAGCTCCAGGACAGCTGGTGCTACTTGGAGACCCTGTATCAAAAAAAAAACCCTAACTATATAACTAAATAAATATACAACATATTTTTATTTCTGTAGATATATTTTTATCATTTTTTAATTTTATGTGTATGAATGTTTTGCCTGCGTGTATATAAGTGTACCCATGTCACACAATGCCTGAGGAGGTCAGAAGAGGGTATCAAATTCCCTGGAACTGGAGTTACAGATGGTTGTTAGACACCATGTGAGTTCTGGGATTTGAACCTGGGTCCTCTGCAAGAGCAGTCTCTTAACTTCTGACCCATCTCAACAGACCCTATAGATGTATTTAGACATTAAGGTATATGAGTGAATATATCAAATTGATAGATTTCTTTCCAGAAAGAGCGATAATTAGGATAAAATGAACTTAAGATTTGTCTATATTCATAAAATTTTTATATTGAGAAAATAATCTCATGTATTTTATGTAAACTTAAAAGATATAAATTGTTTTAAAGTAAAAGTTCATTCACTGAAACACATAAACCCATGTTCCAAGCCAGAGCAAAGCCCTGTTCCCTATCCTACTACCCTGTCCCTCCAGATCTCACAAACCTGTTAACCACAAGTAGATGGTACAGTTAGAACTTGTCTCACTTAACACATAGTTTTTAAAGAGAATCAGCACAAGTGCTATATAATTGTGATGGTTAAGCTTCATTGTCAACATGTTTGGATTAAGAAATGCTTAGGACAGGCATGGTGGTGCACACACCTTTAATCCCAGCACTCAGGAGGCAGAGGCAGGCAGATATCTATGAGATCAAGACCAGCCTGACCTACATAACAGTTCCAGACCTACTAAGGTTACTAGGAGACTCTGCATTAAAAAAAAAAAAACTAACTATATAACTAAATAAATAAACAAGTGCTTTGGAGTAAAACACACTTCAGAGTGATTGTGAGGGCTTTTTCCCAATAACTAGATTGTACCTTCATGGATTCATAATATGATGGCATGAATTGGAGGTGGTGAAAAGCAGGAAGAGAGGCCTAGGTAAAAGAGTGTCCTTGGAGCACCTTGCCCTGTCCCCTATGATAGATTATGCACAATACATGTTATTTATGAAATATTTCATTTTAGTTGCATAATTTCATGTAAATAACCTCACATTATACTGAAGTGCAAAATAGTAGAACTATTCCTGTTGCAATCAGTAACAAAATAAGGACAATATTTAGTATTCATAGGACTCTGTCCCATTCACATATTTCCTATGAGACTGTGATGTATCACTTGTGAAGGTGAGAAGTTCTTTTTAATCCTACAGTATGAATAGCTTCCATCTTGAAGAGGTAATAAGTGACTCTATTGCTTCTGGGCCTCAACTGAAATCATGGTACCATTTTATCCCAAACAATAGAAGACCTCAGAGCACTTGAACCATAATCACCCCCACCATGGTTTGGGTTCTCTGTGGGTCATTATCTTGTAAAATGACATTCTTGTTGCTTCACATACATGATGCTTGCTTAGTTTTACATGTAGCATGTGGCTGTATTGTAAATTGTCTCCTATACCTTGAAAGCATGTATAGGGGACTGGAGAGATGGCTCAGCATCTGCTCTTACAGATGGTTCAGTTTGGGTTCCTAGCACCCACCTAGTGGCTAACAACTGTCTGTAACTCCAATTCTAGAGAATCTGATGTGGTCTCTTGTCCTCTGTAGGCATTGCACAACACAGGTAACTTACATAGACAAAACACTCATACACATAAGAAAAAAAAAATTTTTTTTGGTCTTTTTGAGACAGGGTCTTCCTATAGCCCCAGCTGTCCTAGAACTCACTATGTAGACCAGGCTGGCCTTGAGCCCCAGAGATCTGCCTGCCTCTGCCTCCAGAGTACTGGGATTAAAGGCATGTGCCACCACACCCGGCCCCCCAATTTTTTTTTAAAGCATGTATAGCATCAGGTTGACATAAAAGAATATGTGTATGTTTAAATGCACTAAGACATACTTGTCTGATAAAAATAGCGAAATCTGATAAAATAGTAAAATATTTCTTCAGAGTGATTTTCTTGGTGCAATGTAGTATAGGTTGATTTTGGTTTTCTACCTTAGATTGTTTCAATTGTTGTGTGTTATCTTTATGTTGCAAATAAAGACATTTGTATTGTGAGAAAATTAAATACGTAAATAAGCTCCTCAAAATAGGTATTTGTAGAATCTCCTTGTAGTCAGACCTAGAAAGCTCTAAATGTGTTTTAAGTGTAAATTCCTCTGCTGTTTATGATGATCACATTTGGGAAGGACATCCTCACAGAGGCTGATGCAACCACCTAGTACCCCTGTATCAAACCCAAACAAAAATGTAAATGCTTACCAGCCTGTATTTCAGAATCCCAAAGCCACATTGGGCCTACTTACTGACAAAGTTGCCCAATTAACCAGGCACTTGATGTAGCAACCTCCAGTCGTCTCTACCCTGAATGGTCACTAACCACCTGTTTTCCAACACTGTGAGCATGCACAACTCCCACTCTACATGTAAATAATCAAGGAAGTGAGCAAAAGTATATCCAATGAGACTGGCAGAAATGGCCAAGACAGCAGGAGCAGGAGGCAGTGCCAGGCATGTGAAGGGAATGGCTTTGCTGTAGAACATGTCTGTTTTCTTCCACTATCATCCTGTAGACATTCAGAGGAAAGTCAAATTACATAAAAGCATGAGGGAACCTCCAACAGACAAGTGAGACCAGGGCACTCTTCACCATGTACCATGTGGAATTCTAGGCTGTATTCGTTTACTGGAACGGCTGTAACAGTGTGCCACAAAGTAGGTGGCATAGCCAATAGAAACTTAGTTTCTTGGGTTGGAGAGATGACTCAGCAGTTAAGAGCACTGTCTGCTCTTGCAGAGGACCTGGGTTCAGTTCCCAGTACCCACATGGTGACTAACAACCATCCATAACTCCAGTTCCAGGGGATCTGACACCCTCTTCTGACCTCCTCAGGCATTACACAACATGGGTGCACTTACATACATGCAGGCAATACACTCACACATAAAATTTTAAAAATTTTTAAATGTGTTTGGGGCTGGCAAGATGGCTCAGTGGGTAAAGATGCTTGTCAAGCCTGTTAACCTGAGTTTGATCCCTGGAACCCATATGGGATCTCATAAGTTTTCCCCTGGCATCCACAAATGTGCTTTGGCATGGGCATATTTCCCTAGATATATACACACACATACACATACAGACATACAGACAGACATAAATGTAATTTTTATAAAAAGGTTTCTTTTTGTCAGATAAAGACTTGTCTGCTTCCAATATGACTTCATCTTAGCTAAATGCATCTGACGTGGTCCTGTTTCCAAATGAGGTCAGATTCTCAGATACTAGGGTTTTCAAAATATAAGTTTAAGGGAGGAGGTTGCAATTCAACGTAGAGCACATATGAATGGCACTCTCTAGAAACTGGGTGGCCAGGAGATTGTGGTCATAGAAGAAAGAACTCTACCTACATTGATTCTCCTGATTCCTCAAGCTATGCTAACCTGCAGCCTCTGAACCCACCATAGGGGGTGTGTTAGGTGGAGGCAGTGCTGAGTGGGCCACTGATTCAGGACAGAAGTGTGGTCAGCTGTATGTCATTTGTCACTGCAGGTTATATCGAAGCTGCTGTCATTCCTGTGGGAGCTCGGAGGATCCGTGTGGTAGAAGACAAACCTGCACACAGTTTTCTGGGTAAAACAAAACTCACTTCATTCACCGTTGTTGTTCTGAGAATTGATTTCGATGATTAGAGGACAGTCGATTTTGTTCAACATTCTTCTCTCATGTCAGCTTGATTTTACACCTGTACGTCAACCACAATGACATTAAGCACTCAAAGTGGACTAAAGAGTTGTATTTGGCAGTGAGCCCCAAGGCAAGTTTGGGGCTAAGGTAGACTCAGTTAGAATTGTCAGCTTTGGACTGAAAGGAATATAGCAAAAGAGGAAAGGAAGCCGTGAGGTACTGAGGAGATACATTTCCTGAAATGAGTCCTGAAGAGCCCAGTGCAGTTAGTCCAGGCAGCATGGGCCTACCACCTGTCATCCTTCGGGATGCTGCCACTGGCTCTGGGGGTGGCTCTTGTTGAGTAAAAAGCAATGGCCTAAGCTGAATGAAAAATCATAATAGTACTGATTCTTCAGCTAAGCTAATTGATAGAAACTGACCCCACTGATTTCAAGCATACCCATATGCCTCTATAGAATTGGATTCCATCCTGCCTGATTACCTTCTGTAGAGGGACTGATTCAATGAAACTCCTTCCTAGTCAGAGGAGACCTTCTGAGTGATCTTTTCCTCACCATCAACCCAACAGCAAAGGTCAGCCTGGTCCTTTAGGACCGAACAGTCAGAGCACGACACTGAACACATGAGTGTGCTTTACAAAGGGTTTCTGATCCAGGCTCCCCTTTCCTAAGCTCCCTTCATATTATAATCTCCCAGCCTGTGTTATAAGGTGCTGTTTGAGGATGGGAGGCAGAAAAAGTGAAGAATAATTTCTCAGTATTTTGGCTAAGTTGAAATTGCCCATGAAACCTTTATATTTGAATTTTTATCACTGATAGAAAAACAGTTGCGTTTTTGTTCACATTCCTACCTTGGTACAAAAGTATTCACACCTTCATTTAAAATGGTCACAACTTGAGTAACTCTAAAGGCACAAAAGGAAAATCTAATAGGCCGGTGTTAACCAAGACCACAGTTCTATTACAGAGCCTTAGATAACAATGTTACCCTTATTACAAAGTAATAAACACTTCAGGATATGCTGGGCACATTTGCCTTAGGACCAGGCAGGAGGTGGGCCAAAACCTTGTACTAGGTCTAATCTCCCTGGGGTCCCAGCTGCCCTGAAGTTCTCCTCCACAGCTTTATCACCTACTGTCCCCCTTGTCTTCTTGTGATCACTCAGGTTAACATTGCCATAGTTTTCCCACCTCTCTGACATGGGCACTGTTCCATCTGTTCCCACTCCAAAGAGAACAACACAAACGCTATCTAAAACAGGGCCTTGTGCTGCTTTGGGAAACTATTTTCAGACTGATGGCCTTTTACTAAGTTCTCAAAGATACTGCCCCCTCTCTTTTCTGTTCACCTAAGGAAACTGGATCATCATCACCAGAGCTGACCCAATAACTTAGTGTCACACCCAAAATTTACCTTTTTCTCCAGCTGGTGCAGTGGGGATATACTATTTTCCAGGGAATGACATTTTTATTCCCAAGAGACACTAGGCCTACATGTGAGGCAAAGGTCACGTTTTACCCTTATTTTCTTTACAAAATCATAATCCCAGTAGTCCAAGAGCTGGCCTAGTTCTGAGCTCAACACATCAATTCTTCCATAAAGTAGTGGCAGGTGCCCAGCAGATAAGTCCTTTGGCTTCCAATCCTGGCTTCTAAGGTGTCCAGCATCCATCTCTGCCTGACCCCATTTCCAGGTGCCTGGGAGAAATAGAAAGGCTTTTTCCATCTCTGCTGTTCTGTGGAAGTTTAAAAATGACAAAGGGTATCAGAATCTGTTAAAATCCCTAACATCTAAGTCCCAGAGTAAAAAGGAACTCTTCACTGGAATTTACATTAGGACCAACAAAAAATGACTAATTGATGCTGCCCAGGGGAGGGAGCATGGATAGTTGTCCCTACAGCTCGGCTATCACAGCCTACATACCACATATGCAAAGAAAAACAGTGACTTCCTTATTAGTGGCCCCTAGTCACTGAGCTCTGATGTGCTTTAGAGACTTGACCCCGCCCCCTGCCCAATGTACCACACAGCATCACTAGGCTAGCCTCACAGGTAGCACATGGAAGCTCCAGGGGGCTTAGGTGAATGTACTAATTCCTCACTCCATCTGAATCCTCTGTATTCCATGAAGCCTCTCAGAATTGCCAGTGATGTCCAATCAGGACCACAGACTGACCAGTGGAGGCAACTTTTCATTGGCACACGCTTCCTAAGCCGCCTTCGTGTGCACTTCAGAGAAGCTGATCTCTGCCGCAAGGGAATTGGTTTAAATGTCTGAATGACTTAGCTCCCCAGAAACAGTGCTGTGCCTGCATAGGAGCCCAGAGCCAGCCTTGGTCCCCTTATCTTATCCAGAAACATAATCCCAGTATTCTGGGCCCTGGCACATGGACAGTACAAGCCTGACGGTGGTCCACGCTTGTTATGTTTCTAAAGTCAGTTCCAGCAGACCATGTTTCCACTCAGGGCTGGGTGCTTTGGAAGTCAACCCAGTATAATTCTGAATTACTCTCACATTTGCTGGGAGCAGTTCCTGAAGAATTTCACCCCACCTACCTTCAGCCCGCGCTGGCTGGCTTTCTGCTCAAAACCACCTGGAATAGGAAATGCCTCCACAGTTTGTATCCATGGCTAAGAACAGAGCTGGCTGAACTCAGAGTGGAAATAAAAGAAGCTGATGCAGTGCCAGGAATAGAAGTGGGTTGACTATGGGTCAGGTCTTCCAGTTGACTCTAGGAGGGGGAGAACTGCAAAGAATCCCACCAGCCTTCCGCATCCTCTGGGCCAGTGGAAAGCAAGTAGGCAGCGGGGAAAACCCAGCTCTCCATCCACCGCTCTGACAAGCGGTGCCTCTCCTTGCTCCATGGAATGCTGGTCATCTTCTGTTAGAATGCCTAGAAGTCTCAAGATGGTGGGTAAATGATGCTCAGCATGAGATCTTGTATTCTGGGCCATGTAGAGGTTTGGTTCTGAATCTGTCTTGCACTGCCTAGCAAAAAGTCTACCCAACTGTTGAAAGGCTTCACAGCAAAATTCACAAAAGCATGTTACCGTTGTTTTTCTGGACCATGGTTTGGGACATACAGCCTCTGACCCAGGCAGATGCAGTAAGGGGAAATCTCAATGAATCAGAACTCTAGATTTTGTAGATGAAATCATGCTGCTGGTAGAATCCAGTTCTCTTTGTCATGAACTTTCTTATTTGCCTGTAAATCAAAGCCTGTGTGATCATTTTGATCACCATTTTAAATCTTCTCTGGGTCCCCAAATCCTAATTTAAACTGCAAACTGAATGATCTCAATATGCTTGCAAAGAGGTCTTGATGTCTAGGGGTGTGGGGGTGTGTGGGGGGTGCAGGTAGCAGCAGCTTCTTTAAGGAAAACCACATCATGCACAGGGCCTTGGAATGAGCTCCTGTACAGAGGAGCAGCCCTCTTCTGCAGACCTCTCCCTGGGCCACTCCTAGAAAGCAGAACAGCTCCTGCTAGCACCTAAAGAGACAAGATGTGACAGCCCCAGCAAGCCATTGGATCACTGGACTCTGTGTGACAGCTGCTTGTTTGCTGATAAAAATTATCATGATGTCCCAACAGATTCTGAGATTGCAGTTTCACCCTTTAAAAGGAATGGCAAGTACTAAATGCTTGATTTTGGCAGAAAGTTCTGATCTTCCTACATGGAACGTGGGAACTTGTAAACCTTGCATCTTGCTAAGTGACTCCCACCCAAATCTAAAGGGTTGAAAGCCATCCCCATGTCTCCAAAAGCACTGCCCTCCTGCTTCAAATTCTTCTACTGCTGAGATACCTTGATAGAGCATACACATCACTGTCCTGAGGACAGGGTGCTGGCTGTTTGCTGGAGTCCAAGCAGCAGTGGTAAGGTGGTATTTGCCTGTCTGCAAGTTCATGGCCACCATGGAGATAGCTACTAGCCATTCTTAGGGCACCAAACTTTCTTCTTTCTGAAACCAGAACTACTGCCTCCTCCCTATACTTACTCAGAGCTGTGACTCCCAGTTTGGCACTGTGGACCAGCACTTCCAAAGCCAAGATAGTGACCTACAGAACCCCCTGGGTGCTGTGAGAGTCAACTCCTATTCCCAGATGGCAGTTAGACAACTTGAAACCTCCGTGGCGAGGGTGTTTATACCTCAGATAGCAATACACACCATTGTCAGGGCCTTGTTTTCTAGAGCTCCCCCAGGGACCATGCAGATTATTCTATTAACTGTTCCCCCACTCAAGCATGGTTTTTATCATCTCCAAATGTGTCCTCTTGCCCCTTTGTAGCCCTTCACTTGACCTCCCAGATGTTTAACCTTGGCATATGGACCAGGATATTTTTTAATTTATAATTCACTAAATCACTTGCAGCATCTTACAAAAAGGGCTGGAGAAGTACACACATAAAACCAATGGGAAAAGCCACCTGGGCAGGGGATGACTGCTGGATGGGAGCAGAGGCCCAAGTGCATATGCCAGGCCCACTATATTTCAGGGATGCTGAACCTTTGCTGACAAGTAGCTGAGGTGACTTCTTAGAAACCCATGAGTGGTTTTCTTCTCTGATCTGCTCTGCCCTTATCGTGACTAAGTAATCTTTATAAGCCATCCTCCGTGGGCACATGTGACAGACAAACCCAGTCCTCAGTAACTGACAGCTTCAGACTCTGCAGGATCCGGGTGCTTCAAATGATGTGCCAGGAACCTCCTGTCCTGACACCCTTGTCCTCTCTGGGGGCCTTATCCCATGTGGTGGCAGATCAGGCTTATGTCTAGGCAATGTGTGTGAAGCAAGCTGCTTCTGCCTCAGGTGAATGAAAGTCCCACCAGGGTTAAATGGTAGCATAAGCATGGAGCTGGCAAAGTTAGGGGTCAGACATGTGACTAGTGGGAAGACATTCTCCTAAGAGAAGCTCTGGGGCCCATCTCTTAGCGAGGGAAAAATAAGGAGGCAGCAAATGCCCTAGCACTTGGGCTGGCCACTACACCAGAATGGGCCAGGACATGACCTCTAGACTCCTGGCCTAGAGCCTGGATGGATGAATGGGGGGCAGTCAGTGCATGTGGGAGTCTCTGGCTCAGGTGAGTTGAGGCAAAGAGAGAGGTGTGGCCCAACTCTTCTGGCCTGTGTGTGGAAAATGGGCTCCATGGAGTAGCCCAGGCATGACAGTGGATGGCACTGCTTACTCCAGAGTCTTCTGCCCATCACAGTGACAGCCACTATCTGCCTCCTTCCTGTGACTGACCTCCATTCTATCCCTGTTTTCCTAGGCAGACTTGTGGAAACAAGGTTGCCTTTACCTTCCCCTTGCTCCTCCTCCCCAGGCCCCACCACAGGTCTATTGCAGCCTCCTAGGGTCAGGAGTCAGGGCCCCACTTCCAGGCCTACCACAGACTCCCACAGACCCCTTTTACCCCCATTTGCCTTACTACCTAAATTCACAGGCTACTTCTTCCAGGAAGTGATCCCAGTTGCCTGTCCCTGTCTGTGCTACTGTTATACAGCACATGAAGCTGTCATATCAATCACCTGTCTATCCTCCAAACTGTGAGCTCCCTGAGAGCAATAAAGAGTGCTCTGTCTTGAGGCCCTAGGCTCCAGAAAACACTCAGACTAGGGGGAGAGATCGGCAGGGGTGCCCTCCTGTTCCATAGCATCCTCAACTTGCTCCTTATTAGAGGACCTTGCCCCCTGTTTTTCCTTCCTGCTACTTCCCACCAGGCTACACTGTGTCTCAGAACAACTGTATTTGAACATGGGCAAGAAGCTATGTTCCAATCCCCCAGAGAAGGCCAAAGACAAAGAATACCTCCATCACCTTCACCTGAAGATGAGAATGCCAAGTATGTTAGCCTTGGTCTACTGGGCTTAGAGCTCATCTCTACAGCTGCATGCTGAGGTCTTTAGGCAAGTTCATGAACTTCTATATGCCTCCCGTTTCTTCATCTGTGATATGAGGAAAATAATTCTGAGAGTTATTGGGAAGGTTAAATGGGCAAGAGTACATGAAGGAGCTAAGTGGTAACAAGGGCTTCTTAAATAGTGCTCTGCAGGTATTGGTGTTAGAATAGCAAAGAAACTGAGCGGTCCCCACAGCCTCACCTCCTCTTCAGTAGCCAGAAAATTTCAACCACAGGTAGAATGTCTCTAACAAAACAGATTTGGTTCCAAATGGCAGAGTGATCTCTTTCCTAAGCCTTCCCTGGAGTCTGGGAATCCTCCAGCTCCTGTGCACAGCCCCCACGCCCAGGCATGCACCCCACCTGGGTGTCACCATGCTGGACAGCAGCCTGCCTGTTCCCCTGGGTAGGTACCTGAACTTGCTTCTCCACTCTGTTTTTCAGGACCATAGCATCATGCAGACCAGGGAACTGAGGTTAGACCTCCCCTACATTCTGCTGTCTTAGTTGGCTATCTTAACATCAGGCTTTTGACCAGTCTTAGCTGATAGATTTGGTTTCCACTGACCCCCTTTAGGTCTCAGTATCCAAAATTGGTGGTCAGAGTGGCATTTAGTTTCTGATCTCAGCAGGCAGACAATGGGAAATGTAGTGGTCTCTCAATTTGACTATAAACTGGGGCCCCCAGAGTGACATGGAGAAGTCTGGGATGTCAAGGCTCTAGCTCTGTAGAGAAGGTGTATGGGAGTTTCATTCTGGGGAATATCACCTCTTGTCATCTGCCTCCTGCTCACCCAAAGCAGGTAAGTCTTAGGGATTTGCAGGGATTTTCACTAAATAACAGCAAAAGAAAAGGAAGCCAGAATTTCACTGCAAAAGGCTCTCATAAGCAAGAAGGCCAAGACTCGAGAATGTGCTGTGGAAACAGCAGCATGTGGACGTCATCTCCCCCATAGGCTTTACACCAAGCAGAGGTGGATGTGAGGGGACCCGAGGCCACAAAACTACAGTGTGAGTGCTCAGCCAGCACCCCACCCTGGCAGCTGTTGGATGTTATCACCACATCTGTGCCAGGGTTTCTATGCATAAATACATAACAGAATAGTATTATTTCCTAAAGGAACATCCACTTTCCCAATGTGTGGTATCAGGTCCTCAGACAATGCTGGAGTTACGTTACCTTTCCAGATCCCTAGGGAGGGAACAGTAAAATGTAGGATGAGTTCATTTTTCTTCGTGGTTAAATAATACTTCATTGCGTATGTGTAGACTGCTTTTTCTGTACCCACCCATCCCCAACCCATTCACCTATTGGCACCTAGGCCCATTCTGTATCTTACTTGTGAGTAGTGCTACAGTAAATGCAGTGTCTCTATGGTGTGCTAATTCCATATCCAATGGAATACCTGGATCATATGGTGGATCTGCCTTTACTGTGAATTTTCCATAATAGCCAGAGAAATGTACATTCCCAGTCACAACATATAAGAGTTCCTTTTTTCCATATATTTGCCAACATTAGTTATGTTTTATTGGTAATAACCATAGGGTGAGATAATTTGCATTTCACTGAGGGCTTATGATTTGATTTGGGGTTTTTGTTTTATCAGGCTATTCATTCATTTGTTATACATTTTTTTACATATTTATAGGCCATTTGTATTTCTTTTAAGAAATATCAAACTGGTTATAGTGGTTGGCAGAAGGATTGCCATGAGTTTAAGGCCAGCCTGGGCTACAATGTAATATCCTGTCCCTGCCTCAGGAAAAAGTCTAGGGTTGTAGTTCAGTTGGTAGAATGCTTGTTTAGCATTCACAAAGCCCAGGGTTCAGTTCACAGTACCACTGGATGTGGTGGTGTCCAACTATAACCTCAGTACTAGAAAGGTAGTAGCAAGAAGATCAAGTTCAAAGTCATCCTTGGCTACATAGGGAGTTTGAGACATGCCTATGCTAAAGACCCCGTCTCAAAATAAATACATAAAATTCTGTTATGATCATTTGCCTATATTTTGCCTGTCATTTACAGCAAAGTGGGTAGAATGACAGGACATTTTATGACATGAAATAAGAGAGACACAGAAAGACAAATGCTGTGTGTTTTCTGTCATATGTAGAAGTTTTTAAAAAGGGAAAACTGGCTGGGCGTGGTGGCGCATGCCTTTAATCCCAGCACTTGGGAGGCAGAGGCAGGCAGATCTCTGTGAGTTTGAGGCCAGCCTGGTCCACATAGTTCCAGGACAACTGAGGCTACAGGGAGACCCTGACTCAAAAAGACCAGAAAAAAAAGGAAAGTCACCTGAGTATAGAGGAGTGCTTACTAGAGAAATGTTCCGGAGGATTACTAGAGAGATTAAAAAGAGAAGCTGGGTCTCTTCAATGTGTGTTTTATGCACATATTCAACTCTCACCCTGAGCCTCAAAATACATGCAATTAATACTTGTTAAAACTTTTTAAATTCAAATGAGTGGATGGATTTTTCTAAAGCTCCAAAACATGTTTTGAAGCATTGTACATATTAAAGTAGAATCCATTCATCAGGCAAGAAACCATCCATAGCCATAGGTTTAGACTGGGCCAAGGCTGTCTCTAGCTTCTGGTACCTCCCACAGTCCCACTATTAGGATTGATTCTGAGGTGGGTAGCCATGTTGGAAGATATACCATCAGTCTCCACAGCTCTCCCTCCCATGAACAGGGAGTACTTTGCTTCCTGTAAGCCATCCTTCTATCCTCAGAGCCCAGGTAGACTCCTGCCTTCACTTTAGACTCCTGCCTGCACCCATGGAGTCAAGGTCTCAGACTCAGGCAGGACCCTCTAAAGACAGGCAGGATGCTCCTGATTTCTCAGTGTTCAATTTCTTTTCTAGCTCTCAAAGACTCCAGTAAAAGATCCATCAATAGTGACTGGAAGATCGAGCTCCCCGGAGAGTTCCAGATTGCCGGCACAACTGTCCGCTATGTGAGAAGAGGCCTATGGGAGAAATTTTCTGCCAAGGGACCAACCACAGCGCCACTGCATCTGATGGTAAGTTGCCAGTCCTACACACTTAAGTTTATCAGAGTCCCTTTCCCTACCACCTGGGTGGAAAGTGGTGCCTTCCTGGGAGTTTGTGAGGCTCCCTGATGCTCAGGCCTCTCCTCTGTCTTTTATATTATTTTCATTCATGTATTTATTTATGTGTTTATTTATTTGTGTGTGCACACGTATGTACAGCATTATTGCACCAACATTACAATTACCTGAACAAAAAGCCCAACTCTTAAATTTAGTTTGTAAGAGTGGGCCCAAACTCAGAGAGAACTTGTTCCCCCAGATACCTCTTAGAACCACCTGTCTCCTGGAACTGTTGATGGAACTGTCTTTAGAACCCTTTTTCTCTGGAACTGTTTCTTCAAGTCAGGCCCCATCCACAATTTTATTCAAAATGGTTTCCCCAGCTTCAATTAGGGAAGTACAAGTTTGGTTCCACTCTCATCTTAACAGAACATTCCATCTTTTCATCCCTACTTCTAGAATATTCCATTCACCCAAGGTCACGAATCCTTCCCAATCTCCACTATGTGTAGTGGAGATGGGTATGCTGCCTTTTAGCACTTTGATATGCTAATTCTCAAGCACACCCATATTCATTCATTCATTATCTTCTTAGATGGAATACAAAATTAAGGTTTTGAGGAAACAAGATCAGGTGCCCAGGTCACAAGTCACAAGAGCACCTGGTTGCTGTGGTTAATTAAAAGCCATTAGTCCAGATTATGTCCATTTTATAAAAGTCAATCCTATACATATACATGTGGTGTTTTATTTTTATTTTTTGCGTGTGTGCATATGTGTGTATGTACTCATGGGTACATGCATTATGCACTCAGATGTACATACTCTGTGTGTGTGTGTGTGTGTGTGTGTGTGTGTGTGTCCAGAGGTCAGCACTGAATATCTTTCTTCAGTCATACTCCATGCTTTATATTTTGAGACGATCTCTTGCCTAACATGAAGCTCATCAATTTGGCTAGAGTAGCTGGCCACCTGTCTCTACCCCAACTCCTAGTGTCAGGATTACACACTCACACTGCCATACCCAGCTTTATACGTGGATGCTGAGGATCCAAACTCAGATCCTCATGCTTGCATGGTATGTGCTTTACTGGCTGAGCCATCACCCTGCCCCTTCTCCTCCTGATTGGCCTTATTCCTTCCACCTTTACAGTTCCTCTTCTGAACCTTCTCCCTGGCTCCTCACCAACAGAGCACCTAGCTTTTTCAGAAGGAGCTGCCTCCAGGAAGGACATGTGCAGCTACATGGGTGGCTGCTGGGACAGCTTAATAGCAAATGGCCATGCTCAAAATATGTTTACACATTAGACGGCAGGACACATGGTGCTGCCCCATCACTGAAAACCTCCATTTGAAAGTAAACTGTTGATACAGTGTCTGGTCTAGTACCACTTAGATTGCAAGACTCAGCTTAAACCCAGCACTGGGGAATCAGGAAAGAATCATATCTCATTGTGAAGTTACTCCCCAGGTGGTCCTCAGAAACCTGAGAGCTTGGGGCTCACTGTGATGTCATTGTTATCTGTTATTTACAGGAAAGTCCACGCTTAGCACTTAGACATGGGCCAGGTGTCATTTTAAACACTGTAAACCTCTAGGGAAAGTCATGCCACTGTTTTCTTCTTGGGGTCTGAGAGAACTCATGGATAATTTGTGACAACACACTATTATTGATCATTTGGGGGGAGGTGCTGGAGATTGAACCCAGGGCTTTGTGCATGACAGGTTTGTGCATGATTGCTGATTCTGTGTCTCCTGAAGAACAAGGTTTGTGGTAGCTTGAGTACCTGTCATCAGAGCATACACTGTTCTCAGTTTCTGCTGGTTTCTCCTTGAAAGTTCTTTTTACTCATTAAATTGTGATGCCTGGAGAGCTGCAGCTATTTGAGATCACGTGACACTCAGAAGATTCTCTGACTACCACTAGCGCCAAGTCCTGAGTATGGCCTGGTAACCCCTTTCCAGTTTCTGCTGCAGCAAAAACCAGCCAGCTTCCATGTGTGCCATAAACTGAGGGAATCTGCCAGTGCACGCTAAGCCTAAATCCACTGCATACATTTCTGCAAATAGAGCTCTGGGATTTAAGGATCCATTCCAATGCCATTTCTCCAAGATGAGATATTTCCTAGTGAAAGTCATTTTAAAAAAAAAGTACCCACAGCTATTCCAAGTTCAAAGCAGATATTCAGAGGGGCAGAGAAGGCCAGACAAGTAAGACCCGTGCAGAAAGACCAGCTGTTACCGCACAAGTTCACCTTCTCTGACAAGCACTGAGATGAGTATACGTCTCTTCTTTACCCAAAGTTCCTATGAACTGCGTAGATCTTCAGTCTACTGAAGCCTGTGCACAGCCTACAGCTGTTTATACCATAACAAAAGTCAGAGAAAGTAACTCCCAACCATCTGGAGTTTTTAGCCTTTATTTAATGTTAATTGTTTTTCTCTCTTAAAATGTGATCAGTCCACATCACTTTAAGGTTTTAAACCTACAGATGAGAAATGCTCCTTTGCCCTACATAGGAAGCTACCATCCCAGAATTAGGATGTACACATTATTTGCAGAATTGGGGCACCCACAAAGTCCTAGAGACCAGCATTTGAAACCAATTATATACATGTATACACAAATCATACGTGGCTACGAAATTGCATGAAATTGGTTTCATATGGATTCTCAATTTGCCAGTCTTATTCCCACACTAAAATAATAAAGCTCTCCTTTATAGACAAGTTTAGTTTACCTGGGTTTTTTTTTTTTTAAACTGGAGGCATTTTTTTCCAAGTGCATGACTGCAGGTCTATTTGCTGGGAAAGTGGACATTTAAGCTATTATGTCTGCTTCTACAGTCCCTGCCCCCATCCTGCAGATCAGCCTTGAAGGTTCAGGAAGGCTTGGAACACTTGCCTCCTCTCATCCGACTCATATCCAACCTAATCTACCCAAGCCTAGTCAGGCAGGCTATGCATTTTGCCTTTAGCTCTTGCTGGCCCCTTCTCCCAGATCTCTGTGACTGAAGATGAACTTTCTAGCTGCTTAGCCCCAAGGATACTCACTGGTCTACCACCAGGCCACTTCCATCTTCTATAGGACAACCTACTTTGCATCGTTGTGTCTACATAACTAAAGCAATGAAACACCTGCTGATTTGACAAGGCTTGTCTGCCGCTTGCATTTCCAGGCACAGTGTAGACCCTCCATTCTGCACCCTCACTAGGACTTCAGATGCAAGGGTTCCCCAAGCTACAGCATGGCTCCCCACAGGAAAGCACAAATACCTCTCCACCTCCACCCACCTTCAGTGTTCAGTCCTGAGCCATGCTTCTGCCTACCCACAGGACTAGTCATCATTCAGGCTCCATGGCAACACCAAGGTGTACACAGCATCAGTATCCCAAAAAGAGGTGCCCTAAATTCCTCTGCAGCAGGCCATTATCATGCCCTTGAGCCTGATTTACCCAGTGTACCAACTGCAGTGTAGAACTGACTAGGGATGAAGACTGGAGGGCAGAGCTCATTTTGAAGGCATGGAGTGACGCAGCTTGTCTTTCTAGGGGAAAGCAGTATGTTTGCGCCTTTCTCATCTGTAAGGGTGGACTCCCGAGTGAGCTGACAGGAATGTGGACTCTGCCACACATTGCAGAAGGTTCACTGCCCCAAATTCCTCAAGTAAACAGGTCTTCTCTGGGGTAGGAGAGAGTAGGACTCAGCAACAATAGTACGCATTCACCATCCCTGACTGAGTCCTAGGAACTGGGGCCTGAGACAGAGGAGCACCCTTAGCTTGAACCTACTTTGATCTCCAGAAAAGAGTTGACTATCCCCTAGTAGAGATTTTTCATTCTACAGTCTGTGGGTGTTCACTCCATCTCAACACAGCCTGCATTTTCCTGTGGATTCAGGTGCTGTTATTTCATGACCAGAATTATGGAATTCACTACGAGTATTCCATACCTGTAAACCAGAGTGCCGAAAATCAAAGTGAGCCTGCCAAGCCACAGGATGCTCTGTTCCTCTGGACCCACAGTGGCTGGGAAGGATGCAGCGTTCAGTGTGGAGGAGGTGAGCAGGGGACATGGGGAGCTGTTGTGCAGTTTTGCTAAAGAAGTGTTGAGTCTAAAGCCTTCTGCACCAGTCCACACCATGTGGGAACAGAGAGCCCAGGCTTCCACAGAAATTTAAGCCCTAAAAGCCTCTGCAGAACACATGGTGGAGTTGTCACAGCTCCCATGTGTTTGTTAGTGGGCTCATACTGCTACTCTAGATTTACAAGTAGAGTTGCCCATCATGTGTCTAGATGGCGGATACAAAAGAATAACCATAGGGATAGATAGACTAGACCTCCAACTTGGTGGAATGGCACCAGATGATGTCCTCACCCACACCCAAGTACCCTGTTCTTTCTGCCACCTCCCCAGATAGCAAAATCCTCTGGATTGAGCAAAACACAAAGCATAAGTCCTGACTCTACAGATCTGCCCAACTTCCGCACACAACCTGCCCTGTCTATTTACAACTGCGTGTTCTCACCTCTAAATGAGATGACACCTCTAATTCCACCATAGAGATGGCAGGATGGGCCAAAAAGACTGTCACAGTGCAAGAATCAATACCAGTAAAGGTGGCATGTTTACTACTGGGGCATTAAGTTGCCCATGTTCCAATAAATTATCCCCCTACTCATGTTCATGCAGATAACTAACATTAAACTCGGGGTCAAAAAGGATATCAGATTAGAAGCATGGCATGTTGGGAAGAAGGATTTCAGTGAGAGAAAGAAAAGGGATGAAAGAGGATAATGGGAGGTAGAAATGACCAAAATTCAGTATATACATACGGTAAATTGTCAAAGAACAAGATAAATTTTAAATTTTTAAAGATTTTAAGAAGGAGCAGATGGAAACTATTCTGCACTGCTAGCCCGCAATCCCTCATGCAGTATTATTTGTTACCTCAATACGGTACCTACACAGTAGAGTCATGAGAGATGGGACAAAGATTGGTAGGTAACACAGTTAGGACAGAGGATGACCGGGACTCTGGATCCCAGCCCAGAGAGTGGGATGGCAAGATAGAACCCACCTATCCCTGCTCTTGAGTGACAAAGTGACCACTAAAACTATGTCAAATACATCATTTAAAGGGCTTGACTCATTGTCCATAGGTAGAAAACAGCCACCATGTGATCAAGCCCTTCAGTTCCTTCCTCTCCATCTCAACTAACTGCCCACAGTATGTTTTCAAATGTTTTCTCCTGCAGCCTGTGGCAGTTGGCAGAGCATCTGAGTGCCACCATCAGCCACACCTTTTCCTGGGAAGCCTCCTGTTCCTTGGTTCTTCAGTGGCCCCCTGTGCTGATGGCACAGCAGCCTATGCCTCTATCTCTAGCTGTGACCAGACTTTCCTCTGGACCAGCCTGCTGCAGGTGAAGCCCATCCCAGGGGAGCCATAGCAGGCAGTGCTTCCCTGGGAGCTCTGAGCTGCCACTGTCTCCACATCCTTGGTGGCAGTCCCTTTATGACACCAATGATTTCCAGCTCCCTTCACCTGCCAGATCTGCCAAAACTGAAAGCTAGCTTCAACAGGTCTGTGCTTTCATATTCATCTGAGACTGTATTTGTGGGCCTTAGCTCAAACACTGTGGCTCTTTTAGTCATCTCTATCTGACAAATTCCTTAGACAACTGACCCCACAAGAATCTAGGATCCACACTGTTGTACTTGACTCCCTGTTAATCTCTTTGATCACTCTTCTAAAGCCATAACAATGACTATAATACAGTAACATGAAGCATTGGCCCCCTGAAGTTCCATTCCAGGTACTTCACAGGTATTCATTCATAACACTGGAGCATCTGAGGCAGAGGGAGGTGAAGCAAGCTGACCCATTTGGAGAAACTGAGTCACTGAAGCATGGCAGCCAAGTGTTGATACTGTGGTGACAAAGCCAAGAGGAACCCAGACAGCTGGCCCAGAGGCCACCTTCCTAACTGCCAGTGCTCAGCCTCTCCCACAAAGTTGTATTCATTGTGTTTTGGGTGCTTAGGGAGCATTCAAAGGAAGACTAATGGGTTTGCAAAGCTGTCCAAGAGCATGTAGCACTGAGGCATTGGTACTAGTAGGCTAAGTGGACAAGTGCATGTCAACTCTGTGTGTCCTTCATACTGGCCACCCTGCTCTTCACTTCTTCCTAGCCAGCAGCGGTCCTGGAACAAACAGGTAGCCAGACTCTCTGGTGAAGGCTGATTTACAGGTATTTAATTGGGACCAGATCTCCATAGAATTTAAATCTCAAGCTGCAGATCAAAAGATTGTCAATCTTTAGTGGAAATAGACCTGAACCAGAACTTTGGCCTCAGTAAATCCCAAGCTGTCCAAGGACACAGCTGATCCGAGGTGCTGCTTCTTTCTGATCTTGTTCTAAATCTTTCCCCACACCACACTGCCCTGCCAAATCTTATACATTCCATCCCTAGGATTCTAGTTCCTCCTCTTCTTTGACAACTAATACTATCATATTACAACAGCCACTTTAAACGGCACACTGATCAGTACTTCCACCCAAAGAGCCCTCAAGGAATAACTGTACGACCTTAGTTTCTCAGCTCCTATGGTTTGGTTTCCAGGGGAACGCAGAACCATCGTGTCATGCACAAGGATTGTAAACAAGACCACAACCCTGGTGAATGACAGTGATTGCCCCCAAGCAAGTCGCCCTGAGCCCCAGGTGCGAAGGTGCAACTCTCACCCATGCCAGTCACGGTAAGTCACTGTATTCTGTAGCTTGGACCCACCAGGTCTTGGGAGTAGCAAGGTGGATGAAAGGATGGTGATACATAGTTAATAATATTTAACCATTCTAGGCCACATTCTGGTGTTGTTGCTGAGTGACTTTTGCTTGCTCAAGATAGTTATGTTGCTTAACAATGGGAGTAAATTCTAAGTACATCACTAGGTAGTGTAATGTTTATTACACATGCAGTCTCTATGTGTGGTATAATTTATTGTTCCTAGGACATGATGAACAAAATATAATATTAATTCAAGCACAAAAGACAATGCTACAAATCAAAAAATGCAGTAGGAATGGGATAGGTGAGGCTGATGCTAGTCTGACAGCACAGACCTCTACAGTGAACAGTACATGTAAATAGGAGTGTGCTCTACCAGCATAGTAAGTATATGGACCAGTAACATGATCATTTATCATCGTCAGTATGGTACCCTAATTCTGCGTGTTGAGGCTGGGGAGATGGCTCAGTTTGTAAAGTGCTTCCTGCACAAGGATGAGGACCTGAGTTTGGGTCCTTGGCAGCCATGTAAAAGATGTGTACAGCAGCATATTTTCTGTAACCCAGGATGCTATGAGGATGGGCAGAGACAGGCAGATCCTCAAGATTGACTGGCCAGTTTAACTAATTTGTGTGCTCCGGATTTTCCAAGAGACTGCCTCAAAATAAAAGAAAAGGAAACTGGGAAATGATAGAGGAAGACACTCAAAATCATCTCTGACCTCCACGTGAGCACAGGCAAGTGCTCCACACACATATGTGCACACACATGCACACACCCCACAAAAATAAACAAATGTGTGAACTACACTTTTATATGAGTGACAGCACAGTGGGTTTGTTTCCTGTAGCGCCACCACAAACGAATGATGTAATGCACTGCGACACAACAGAGACACAACCTCACTGGCTGACAGGATGACAGTCTTACAGAACAACTGCTGCATGTATGGTCTGTTATTGATTGAACACCATGGAGCAGCACTGTTCTGAATAGCCATCTTCTAAGCCAGAACACTGATGGAAATAAATAGTTCTATCTGGAAAGCACTTTGCAGGTCATGACTGACAGCATCTCACAGAGTAAACAATGCTGTTGGCATACATTTTTTTAAAAAATATTTTTTATTAATTTGAGAGTTTCTTTTTTTAATATTTTATAAATTTTTTTGTGTGTATGAGTGTATTGTAAGCATGTATGTATGGGTACCTGGGTCATGAAATGCCCATAGAGATCAGAATAAAGCATCAGATTCCCCAGGAACTGGGGTTATGGACAGTTGTTAGCCACCATGTGGATGCTGGGAATCGAGCCTGGGTCCTCTGCAAAAGCAGTCAGTGCTCTTAACCACTGAGCCATCTCTCCAGACCTGAATTTGAGAATTTAAAAAATATTTTATTTATTTTTAAATTAATTTATTTAGAATTTCATACATGTATATAAAGTATTTTGATCAAATCCATATCCACTCCCTCCCCTCCAACTCCTCCCATATCGCCCCATCACTTTTTCTGACAACTTCGTGTACTCTTCTTCTTTAATTAATTTATTTTTATGGGGCTTTTTGGCTACTCTAACATTCCCCCTTCTGAAGAGTTAACCCTAAAATCTTTAAAGGATTTTTGACATTTTTGGCCCAAGGACATTGTAAGTTTTAGCCAAGAAACTGGCTTGGGGGGGGGGGGCTTTTTACCCTTACTGCCTAGCAAATTCCTCCCTCCTATTCTTATCACACCATCCTCTGAAGAGGTTACCCAAATTGCCAGTAGAGAATTGGGACACAGACTTCTCTAGCTTCTTCCATGCTCAACAAGGATGCAGGGTAAGGCAATTGAAGTACCCCTTCAATGGGTCTGCTAAAAGACTCCCAAATTGCATGACTCTTATCTCAAGGAGGAAAAGAAAGTCTTTGAATCATGAATAGGAGGTGTGAAGGAGAAGTAAAGGCAAGAGTAATTAGCATTACAAGTTC